CCTAGAAATGTTCTGTTTCATTACTGTTTCTTCCTTCTCAATACGAACATTTAGGCTCTACCCTCAGAAATCACTTTACAGGTCTGAACTGGGGCAGACACCCGCACTACCAACAAGACCCTACCATGGCTGATAGCTCTTGGTCTACACTTGCAGAGGGTCGACCTGTAAGTCTGTGGTGGGTGTCAAAGAAGAGCCAGATGGGCGAGTTTCATTAGTTTTATGAAATTAAAAACTTTACGTGGTCAAAATACACGATCCAAAAATTTTCAGAGGCCAGAGTTCCAGACACGTCCTCATCTCTTTCATCTCCGCCTTCTCCATGACCGTAACCTCCCCACAGCCAAACCAAGACATCTCAACAGGCCCATCGGTACCTGACACCCAAGTACACTCTTATCAAGGACCCCATACTTAGCAACACCTTCCTAGTTTTGGCAGCTGGTGTTAAGTATCGTATCACACAAAACAATACGCATCAATAAGACCCTAATGGATAGGGGAGCGACTGGTAAATGCCTGAGAGTCAGAGGCAACGCAGAGGAAATGATGGAGTCTTGAGGGAGGGAGGTCACATGTTTGAGCCTAAAGGGGAAATGGTTGTCTGTACAAAGCTTTAATTTCTTAAAGATTCCATTTACAGTCACTAATGTTTCTTGTTTAAACTGAAATAAATTTGGCCCCTGCCCAAAAACACACTCAATCTGTCCTTCTGAAAACTATTCTGTTTAATAGTGCACTTCATGTATGCTACAGGAGGAGCACGATGGGCAAGTGTAACCGCAGGTCATCCCTTCAGTTGGGAAGCCCCGGGAGCTCCTCTAACCCGGCGAGAGGCCCCGTGGCCAGGCTCAGGCCGAGTTGTCCTCCTCTGGTCTCTGTGCTTTGCATTCATTCTTGGCTGCCGAAGTCAGAGGTGGCATCAGGAGGGGTCCAGCTGCCAGGGCCAGAGGTCACAGGTTATAGGTGACAGAGGGCACAGGAAGCTGGCTAAGCGAGCTCCTTAAAAGCATCCTTAGTAACTAGGGGTTTAGATTAAATCACTTTCTGTCACAGAAGTGGCAGGAGAGAGGAGGAAAGGAACAGGTTGATGCTAAAAGCTTTTGCTCCTTTCCCTCATGTTAGACCCAGTGATTAGCTGGATTCCCAGTTAGTCCTATCACAGCAGGGAAGAGCGAGTTCTCCCACAAAACTGCCAGGCTGCTCCTGGAAACTGGCTTATGCTGCTCCAGGAGCCCTAAAGGATACAGTCACTGCAGAAAACCTTAGGGTCCTTCCCCCGCCCGACAAAGTAACATCCCTCAGCACCCGTTTCCCTAATGAACGAAGTCATAGAACAAAACAGCACATTCTTCATCAGAACTGAAAGCTGGATTAGAAGCAGTGGCTTTGAAATACAGCCTCCATCTCCCCTGCTAGCCAGTAACACGACCCAGAACATTCTTTCCACGTTCTTCTCTGCTGACTATACTGACTCCCAACTAGAGGACTCCTTGGAATTTTATTCCTACGTGCTTCCAACCCCACCTTGGAAAGAAAGGCTCCTCTGGTGTGAGAAACATGGTCTAGTGCAAACTGCCTTCCAAAACGGAAGAAGACTGGTCCCAGAGCTTCCCTCTACTAGTGGCCTAATCTTTCAGGGCTGAGGTCATTCCTGGGGACACTGACTCGGTTGTTAACCACTGTGCCAGGATGGCCTGCCCAGTCTGCCCCATTCTCTAAAGTGAAGGGACACATCCTAAGTTGTTCGTACTTGTAGAGTAAGGCAGACGCTCTTGAGACTCAGAGGAAGTGAGGAGAACAGGTGAGCGGCTCTCTTTCACGTCGACTCCCTGATATTTAACGCAGCAGTGACCCGGAGAGAACTTTTGCTCATTCCCATTACATTCAAAGGCTTCTCCCCAGTGTGAATTCTCTGATGGCGAACAAGAGCTGAGCTGTACCTAAAGGCTTTCCCACACTCACTACATTCATAGGGGTTCTCCCCTGTGTGGATTCTTTGATGCTGAATAAGGCCTGAGCTGTAAGTAAACTTCCCTCCACATTCCATACATTCATAGGGCTTCTCTCCAGTGTGGATCCTCTGGTGCTGATAGAGGTGTGAGCTCTGGCTGAAGGCCTTCCCACACTCGTTACATTCATAGGGCTTCTCTCCAGTGTGGATTCTCTGGTGATGAATAAGGGTGGAGCTCCTACTGAAGGCCTTGCCACATTCATTACAAGCGTACGGCTTCTCTCCAGTGTGGATTCTCTGGTGATGAGTAAGGGTGGAGCTCCAGCTGAAGGTTTTCCCACACTCGTTACATTCATAGGGCTTCTCCCCGGTGTGGATCCGCCGATGGAGAATGAGAGCAGAGCTGCAGCTGAAGGTCTTCCCACAGTCACTGCATTCGTAGGGCTTCTCCCCCGTGTGGATCCTCTGATGCTGGATAAGATGTGAGCTCTGGCTGAAGGCCTTCCCGCACTCACTACATTCATAGGGCTTCTCCCCGGTGTGGATCCTCTGATGCTGAATAAGGTCTGAAGTTCGATTAAAGCTCTTGCTACATTCATCACACTTATGGGGTCTGTCACCCACAGGAAGTCTCTGATGGGACAGAAGGCTGGGACTCACAGCAAAGCTGTTCCCCAGATCACGGTATTTCTCACTTCTCTCTCCCGTGGGGGTTCGTTTTTCCTCAGCTGTCACTTGACCCAAATCCTGTATCTTCCTCTTCAGTCTCTCTCCAGAGGAGTTCCCCAGCTGCCTCTTCAGACCGACTTCTTGTTCATAGGCTTCTTCAAACTTAAGACCCTGAGAAATATCCTTTTGGAATCTTCCCAATAGCACCCCGTGTGACCCTGTATCTTCAGAAATGTGTTGATCATGCTCAGTTCTGGTCTCACCATCTGGCACAATACAAAACACAAATGTCACTTGTTCCCTGTGGAAGACAGAACCAAAACCAGACACAGTATAATCACATAATGTTTACAGGCTAAAAGCACACGCCTCTTATCTGCGTGCCAAGAGGCCTGTCCAGGCTGCACGCAGCTACGCAGAGTAAGAACCTGGCCAAGGAAACAGGGAAGGTGAAAGGTGGGAAGGAAAAATTGAGAAAAGAGCTGGAAGTGTAGAGAAAATTGCATTTTTAAGGAGAGAAGGACAGATCAGGCAGAGGCAGGGAATCAAAAACAGAAGAGGCAGGACATGCTGTGTAATGGAGTGATGCAGTCCTCAGAGGTCAGAGACGGTGACTACTGAACAGTCAGAGAAAGATGCAGGTACAAGAAGCAAAATGTAGCCGGGGGCTGAGAAAAGCGGGAAGGGGGTGGGAAGCAGGGCAGGAAGGATGAAGCCCTACAGCCCCAGGTGGAAAGAACCACCATGTCTGCAGCCGCAACACGTACGCCAAATCCCCGGAAACAGGCAAGAGACAGAGACCAGTGCACGCCTGGGCCCCAGGCCAGGGAGGCTACGCTAAGGTGCTTAGCGAGGACACACCAACAACTTCCACGTTCAACTTCGCTATCTTCACTGCGCTGGGGTTTCCAAAGGGAGCTTCAGGCAGAGAGAACCAGTACAGAGGATCTGGGTGTTAGCATTTTTAGTTTGTCAATAGTTTAAAAAGTAAAGACAGGGCAATGAGTGTTAGGGACAGAAAGAGCTGTTTCTCCCTCACCTGAACAGGTACCTCTCAGGACATCTCTGTTCTCAGTCCCCTTCAGACCCAGGACCCTCGGCTCTTCCTCTCACTCCAGCCCAGAGATCATGTCAAAATTCAGAAAGGGGAATCCTGCTCATGGGGAAAGACTCGGGAAAAGGTTCATCCTTCATACCAAATGGGCCCACGGCTCAATTCGAGACCCAGGATCTGCAGGCGACGGAGAGGAAATGTACAGGGAGGTCTCAGACGGGATTCAGGGAGACCCCCGGCGTTGCTCGGGAAGTGTTCTCGCCGAGAGTGGGTGAAAGACGAGGAATTAACAGCCCACACACCAAAGGTTAAGCAACTAACTGCTCTCTAAACAAGCTGAAATTTCTACAAGAGGAGCAGTTACGCCACGTCCATCCACAGAGCAACAGGTCCCTAGAGGTAGTGCAACAGAGGAGGAGACGAACTTCCAGAATGTTCACCTGGGCACAGAGCAGTACCTCACGTTTAGGGAGCCCCATATGCTAATCTTCTGGAAAAGTCTCTGGATTATATGTTAATGTTAAGTCCTAAGAATCACATGGGAGAAAGTACCAGATTTAGTTAAAAGACCAGGGCTCGAGTTCTGCCAGTCACTAGCAACGTGACCCTCGGCGAAGCACTGAAGACGCCTGACCTCTCTTTCATCACCTATAAAATGAGGGTACTTCCAGCCACCTAACTGCTGCGTTACTGCGAGGGTTAAGTGAGAGCAGATCTATGAACGCTAGTTATGAACTGCAAATTACTGTACAAATGAGAGTTACTATCACTGTCTGAGATTAAGTCAATCCTTAGCTAATGATTTTCAGTGACTCAACTGTTCCTAGCAAGCAAGGAAGCACAGAAATACCCAGGGAGCTGTACTGAGACAGCACCCCTCCTTACCCAGCGAGAACACGTTCCCGTAGTTCTCCAGCATCACATCCCTGTAGAGGTCCCTCTGAGCAGGCTCCAGACGCTTCCACTCCTTCCGAATGAAGTACACAGCCACGTCCTCAAAGGTCACCAACTCCTGAAATGACACGTTCTCGCATGCAATTCCAGGGTGTGTGATGGGACTTGCAGAGCCAAAACCTGATTCGGGATGGAGCTGAATACTGCATATTTGGGAAGTGGGGAAAGGAGGTTACGGTGGAGGAAGAGAGAAGAGAGACTGAGACAGAAAGGTTCGTTATTCAACAGGAAAGGACCACGGCCCTGACGGACGGTTTAGGGCACTGGATGGGATGCTGCTACACAAAACTTTCCACCGGACAGGTAGGAGAGAAGAAGGATAAAGAAAAGTACAGCTCACCTGGGCCTTGGCCTTCAGCAGTGCAGCTGCCAACATCTCATCCCCCAGACTGTCCTTGTCGGAAAATGCAGGAACTTTGGAGGAAGGAAGAGCTGAGGACGATGAAAGGGTCTGTAAGTCAATATGCACTCTGGCCCCGTGACCCACAGAGAGCTCCTGGGGTACCGAACAACCCAGGACCCCTCCCTCTGACTGTCTAAGTCCGCACCCTCTGACGCTAAGAAGGTGCTTCCAGCAGGGACCTTCAGGGTGGGCCTTCCTGCTAGGGAGAGATGTCCAAGCCCCGTTCATCCAGGCTCTCCAGTCACTCTCCTCTCGATGACATTTGCCCAGAACAACTGTCAGCGACTGGTATAGTCTCATCCATTCTCCTGGGCCTGGCCAGAAACACGGGCTCTCCTGTCCATGTTGCTTCCATCACTCTCCAATCTCAACTCAAACTCTTGCACAAACTTCTAGACTAGAGGAAAACCAGGAGCTTCACCCTGACTGTGACTGAAGGCATTGTGTCCACACCTCTCCTTTCTCTCTACCCCTAGATCAAACCTCCACACTACAAACATCCCGTGTCTGTGCTGGATCATATGTCCTTTCCTGTAATTCTAAAGTTACCCTCTTTGTCCCTTAGAGACTCTAAACCCCTAGAGAAACTAGATTCTGTACAATCACACGGACAAAAATGTCATCAAATGCTTTTTCCTGAGAAGTATGGGAGTAACAATCCTTAGGACCAAAACCGGCTCAAAGTCAGGGGCACGGTCTCCAAAAGCAGAACGCAAGTGCTTTTTATGGCTTCCCAGCCCTCCTGTCCTTTCGCCTGTGACCTACAGAACAATTCCCGAGGGCTCCCCTAAAGCACATGCTCCCCGAGAGCACAAACCAGGGCGACGCCACCGCTGCGACAAAGTACCTGGGAAGTGGAACGTGGTGATCGTCACCGTTTCCTTAATCCTGCACGAGGAGCCCACAGCCCTTACAAACGCCCCAGCCGTAAAGCCCAGCAGGCTGTATTTACGCAATGGCTTCAGCCAGCGCTCCCCACGAGGCTGGGAGCAGCTGAAGGACAGGGCCTATGTCCTAACTGGCCTCCGGCAGTTAGCCTAGTACCTGGTGAGCGAGGGACTTCAACGGCTGATTGCTGAATGGCTGAATGAGAGGATGCGTGAGCCCTATCCCTTACCACTCTCAAGCAGGGCCTGAGGTTCCTGAGATGCACGGTCAGCCTGCGTTTCCATGGGTAGGGCTAGAAGCTCGTATCTCTGGTCTCCTGTTTGCAAAGTCAGCAGGAAGCAGGGTTTGAGTGACAATGAGGAAGCACTGCAGAAGCAAAAGGTCAGGGTGCAAAGACAATTTTAAAAAACTCTACTGAATACAGAAAGAGGGGAACTAGCATTTCAGTTACTACCAGAATAGCAAGAGGAAATGCAGCAACAGTGATCGGTCTTTTAGATCCTGGTGAATAAATGCACCTGGTCCCTGTGATGAGATCACACGAGGATCACAAAAAAGGGCCCAAGTTCCTGGACAACATCCCACCTTAGGCGCCCTCCTCACACCGAGCGCTATTTCTAACAACAAAAAATGGAGAACATGGGTGCCAAACGATGCCATTAACAGAATGAAATACTAAGTGACTACTGAAATTAGAAATATCAGAGTAAAGCGAAAAAAGAGTATTACACATAGATTGCAAAATGTTTAAGTATCATGTTAACTTTTAGGAACCCTGGGAATAATGGATAAAGCTAATGTATACAGATCAAGAAAAGCCCTTCAGAAACGTTAGAATTAGTACAAGGGGAAAAAACCCAACTTACTTTGGTCGGTTTCTAGCTGTTACAGTACCTGTAGGCACTATCCTCAGAGGAAGAGGGGCCGTGAAATAGCACCCAAATAACAGAGATCAGAGAAAGTTTCCCTAAGTTCTCTGTCTCATTTTAAAAACCTGGGGGAAACAATACCTGTCTCACAGAACTAGGGCAAACAGCTCAGATCTGCTAGACTGAGATAAATTCTTCCTCCCCCTTCTTTCTAAGACAGCTTCTGCTTCCAGCCTCAGTCGAAAGCGGGCTGTTACTGAGGAACCTGCGCCCGTGCGGTCCTCGTGCGGTCTCGTTACAGAGTGTGGGTGTGTGTATTCACCAGGCTCTGAGACCCTGGCCCCAGCTGTGGTGTGTCCTCTCCCTGAGAAGGCAGCAGCGAGGCTTCTCTCATTAAAGATTTTCTCTCCCATCTCTCATAATAGATTTCCTTGGATGTAAGTCCTTAAAGCAAGAACTAATACTTTTTAAACAAATATAAAATTATTTACTACATTTTTATTCTTGCTAAGGTCCCCACTCCCCAGTGGCTACGACAATCAAAAGAGGTCTGTTCTCTGTGGCGCCAGTGAATAAGATGTAACATTAGCACCCAGACTAAGGTTTGGATCTTATAAGTTTCTACTCCACAACTGAACGTTGTGGCGAGAATCCACAGATGAAGTACAGGGGAGGCAGCTGCCAGAGCCTCCTCACGCTTAGGCAGGAACAGAGGGGAAAACCCTGGATTTTGGCCACCTCCCCTCTCTTTATTCATTTGCTCATAGAACAAACATTTGTTACGTGCCAGTTACATTGCAAGGCACTATTGAAAGGAGTGAAAAAAATCCAGAATGCAAAAGGCATTTGTTTCATCATTACAGACTGTTGCAATCGCATAAGGCATAAAATGGGGTGGGGGCCTTGAGGGTCACTCAGAGTTCAGACAGTGCCAGTCTTTGGGCAGCAGGGGCGTGTAGACTGCCCATCACCACACCAGGACCATTACACAGTGAAAAGCAATGAATCAGGTATGAGCCAGGCCCACTGAAGATCCAGGAGGCACACCCTCTTGCCACCATCACTCTCCTGGCTGGGGCCCTTCGACTCTTTCTCAGAGCCAGCCATCCTCTTCTTCCTGTCAACCACCTTTGCAATCTCCAGGGCTGCTTACAAGCAGACACCCCCACGAAATCAGCTCTCAGTCCAAACTCTCCTTAGAAAGGAGAGTCAGAAGTGCTGATTCCAGAGAAAAAAGCAACGCTCCCTCCTCACAACTGGGTTAAGCAAAGCTGGAACTCAAAGGCATATTGTTGAGAACAAGTCCCCAGTGTCTAGATCAGGAAACAATGTTTCTCATGGAAAGAAAAACCTCCTTTGTGCCCCCCCTGCTTCAGGTCCAGGCAGGGCCCTTCCCCTGCTCCACTGCCAACCCCACTCCCCTGCAGTGCTCTTGGGGACTGAGAAAGAGGACCTGGCAGAGAGAACAAGTCGAGGAAAGCTTTACCCGCCGGATTCTTTCCTTCCTTCTTTGGAGTTAGTCTCGAAAAGGCCAGAGTAGCAATTACTGGGAATTTGGCAGCGTCTGTTCAAGTTCCTGGGAGTTCTGACTTGAGTTGATGCCAATGCTGTATGACTAAGGAAAAACAAAGAAAAAGGAATTTTAAAGGTTCATGTGAACTTCACTTGGAATCTAGATACTTAGTGATGAGGGGGGAAAAACAGGAAGAGAGGACATATGCTGATAAATACTGATTAAGACCAAAACTGGTATCTGTGCTGCGCCCTCCGAGAGCTGAAATGGAAGTCAAGGTTCTCCAGGTCAACCTCCCACCCAGTGCAAGAAACATCTCAAGTTCCTCGTTAGGAACTGCCCACTAACTTGCTAGACAGGGAGTCTGTTCCACTGCCGCACAGCTTAGCCATTAGAGAGGTCTTGGGAGTTACGCTGAGAATCTTCTCCCTCCGACCTTCACCTCTCAGAGGCCTAGTGACCAACGGAGTTTCTATGATATCTTCTGTTTCCAGGCAACTCTCCACCAAACACTTGAAACCCAATGATGTCCACTCTCCACAAGCTTCTCTTCGTGGGGATGAATACCTTTAGTTCCTCTAAATATCGCACAGATTTCAGGCTCATCAGCCTGCTTATCCTCTGCTGGAGTTCACATACGCCCTTCAGAACGGAAACACCGGCTTGTGTTCAATCCCACTTCAAAAGGGGATCAAATTAGGGATTTAATACGTCTGGAAATGGGACACAGTTGTACCACTCCCCGAAAAAGACTCGATTTACTGGGCGCCAGGGGGATGATTCCGTTATGTGTGAATAGTTTTAACTGCGCACGCTTTGTAACACTCCTCATTCTCTGATCCTCGGACCCAGCTAAGTAAAAACAGACCCTCCCTCCTGCCGAATAACGACCAAGTTAGGGTCGCTGTCATCAGCTGTTGTAAAAAGAGGGGCACCTCTCCAGCCAGACTGGAACTTTGAAGTGCTCGAGCTGGGCGCTGTGGAAGTCACAGAATCAGAACCTCAGCCCCTCCTTCCTCCTCGCACGCGGGGCCTGCAGGGGGCGGGGTCCCTGGGGAAGCGGAGTCGGGACTCGCGCCTCCCGGGAGCCCGCTCCCGGAGGGCCTGGGGACCCCGCGGGCCGCAGCAGCACGGATACCCCCCCCCACTTCCCTGGCGACCACTGTCCCTGCCCCACCGCGAGCCCTGGGGGCGGCCGGACTCACCCTGGGGGCAGGGACGGGAGATTTGGGGGGCCGGACACCGACCAGGCCCCGTTGGTCCCTGTCACAGACCCACACACGGTGGACAGAACAAAGAACGGAAGTTCCCTCCGTTTCGCTTCCGGGTCGGTTCTTTTCACTACTCACCGCTCCCCCGAGTCCCCCACGTCCACTTGTTCTCTCTAGGAAAATGGGAGGTCTTCGCCTCTCGGTGGTTTGCTGACTGGGCGCAGGGCCCCAGCGCTGACGCAACACTCTAGGCCTGTCGCCCCCGCCCGCCGCGCCCCCTGCTGGCGGGGCCTGGTGGGACGCCGCGCACCTGGTCCTCAGGGCGCATGCTCGGGAGCCGGCGGCCGGGGAGGGGGCGTCCTGGCGCGGGTGGCGGGGGTGGTCCAGGCTGAGCTCCCACGTGGTTCTCCGCGGGGCAGCCGTGGGCCCAGCAGGGCATACAGTGTCTGAGCTACCGGAGTCCCAAGTTGACCCGCAGCAAACAGGAGGACGCTTGAAGGATTCGATATAAAAAACTCACCCTTATTTGAAGTTTCCAAACAGACCAAGTTTATGCTTCCAAGCAGTTTTGTGTTTGTCTCATGTAAAAAAAAAAAAAAAAAAAAAGCCCCCTTTAAATTACTAAAATCTGAAGAAAACATTCTAGCCTATCAGAGAGTTCACGTGAGGACAAAACCTGTACAAGTGATGAAAGCAGAAAAGATTTGGGGAAGTTATAGATCCAGATCTGAAGAAAACAGGCGAAGCCCTTTGATATTTGAGATGCTTGAGGGAATGAGGGTCCAGGTTTTCGAAATTTACTCATTTTTATGTCCTCACAGGAGGAATCCTGAAAGTGTCGGGATCAAATCCCGCAGATAATATACACGAAACGAAATCTTGTGATCTCCTGATTCACCTTATGGCCCTGCCTCAAATTTGATCCCGATTTTTATGGCATCCAATACTTATAGCACAGCCACTCAGGTCTGCAGATGCAACAAACCTAACTCTCCGGTGACTTCAGTCTAAGGACAGTAATTTAACCAATGTCAGTAAAATATGGTATGGGCTCAGAAAAGTGACAAAGAGCAGGGCCTGTAGGGCGGTGAGAAGACTTTCCAGAAGTGATTCAGGCTGTTGAAGGGAAGAAGGAGAGTTCTCCTCAGTGGCAGCAGCCAGTGCAAAAGCCCTGAGGCATGAAAGAACAATTTCCAGGTAATAAAACTTGAGGGTAGCCTGAGAGGTGTGAGTGTGTGACCAACACCAGTCTTTCTAGACCCAGTGAGAATCTGAGCAAATAGCTGGAATAGCCAAGCCACTAAATAAACTCAATTCCAACCCCCAACCCCCCAAGAAAAATGGGCAATTTTTTTCTTTCTCTCTTTTCACTTCCTTATTCTTCCACTCCTCCTCCAAGACAAGAACAAGATGAATAAGAAGGCAGTGGCAAGGAGAGGAGGGAAGGATAGAAGCAGAGTGAATCTCCTGGAAGTGGGGTTGTGTGTTTCCTAGAAATTCACCTAATGGCAGCCCTCAGGAAACAGCTCTCAGGTGCCCAGCATCCTCAATACAATCAACTCTGTTACTCTGGGGCCTAGAGGTCAATTTGCAGCTTGCCATTTGTATTTGCCCCAGAACCCAGCTGTCTGGTTAATTCCCAACAAGTTCTCAAAAG